AAAAACAAACAAACCTGAAGCTCCTATGTTTAATAGTTTTTGAGCAATAACCATTTTTGTATGTCCAGACACCCCTTTTTTCAGATAAATTGGGGTCGGGGAAGGGGGGGGCACTGATTGGTGGGCCTGATGGATAAAGCTTCATCAGTGCTAAACAACAAAAGACATCTTGCGTCTATGAGACACAAACAATTACTCCAAACACATCTGATCAGTACACTGCATAATGCAACTGCCTTATTTCATAGCCGCTGTCAAAAAGAAGCCATTTGTTTCCCAAACTTCTGCCACTGACAGCATCATGAAGCCATTTAACTGGCTGAACTGTCTGTCAGTGCAGCTGTGAGTTTTGCTGACTCGCACAAACTTTTCCTGCTTACTGGGCAGGTTGAGCAGAATGAACACTCCCAAAGCAGAGAGGCATCAGTAACAACAGGAGCAGGTAACCAACATCACTGCAGCACAGATTACTTTTTTTGTTCTGTATTGTAACAATTCACATTCAAAATTYGTTCCTCTGTTGTGCAAAATTAAGGAAACTAAATAGTTCCTGAAAATACATGGCTATCCTTCAAATATTTATTTATGCTCCACAATTTAATGCAAGTAGGATTTAAAAATCATTTTCATATCAAACTGTGTCTATTGATAAAAAGATGTCTGAAAAGGTGGAAGAAAAGAGGACAGKAGATCTAATATGAGAAAAGAGATTAAAGGTAAAGTAGGAACATGAAGRGAAATATTATTTGTTGTTTTTACAACCACAACAGAAAAGCAAGATTCAGAAGTAATAAGAGAGATGTGATGCTGGCCTCATTAAACTGAGAAACGGCCAAATATACGGTCTCATGTTTGTAGATCTGTTATTATTTTTGAAACAGTAAGTGCATCTTCTTGGACAGTATCTAGTCCAGCTTTTTTGGTTGGGCCCCACTTTGGAACAAGAATACATAGTTTCTGTAAACTTAACACACTGCAAAGATAAAACAATCTGATGACGGGATTGGGACTGAGATCTTGTAACTCTGCAATAGCAGAAAGTTTTAAATGTCTTGTGGGTGGATGGAGGCTGGGACAAAAAAAAAACCACAAAAAACTGCGGAACCAAGTAGGGGTCTCTGCAGTACATAGTGTGGGCAGAGCTGGCCCTACTTGTGATTGGGTACCTCCTTAGCCGTTATAATCAACGAGTATTTACACTGGCTCAGGGCGGTGGTGAGTGGACGGCGATCCACTAAAATTAGATTCTCACTATTTTCGAAATAATTCACCAAAGGCAAACTAAGTTTGTTGAATTTCTAGCTATTACACACACACACACACACACACACACACACACAGTCAAAATGTATTGTTCTGTTTGGGAAGCAGATGGCAACATGTACAGTAGCATGCAGCATATGCAGACACACATAATGCATGTGGATTTTATTTTGAAATCAGAAGTTTCAAAAAGAATAAATGTGCAGTTTGAGCTGTTTGGAGTCCGTCTTCCACAGAATTAATTATTTTGCTCTGACTTCTACATTTATCACTAGATTTATTGCACAATCTCGCATTTCCTGCAMACGCTTCTCGGACCTCCTCTGCGCTTTGCACCGGAGCAGAGTGGATGCTGTATAAATTGGGGCGCAAACGAACGGCTGCGAACTGCACAGCGGAGCGGAAACACAACTAGTGTAAATTAGGGGTAAGACACCAACTGAGTTATGTCCTTACTTTTAACTGMAGGATGAGGTCAACAATTCAAGCTTAACACCATTCAAAAACTTCAAACCTCAATACTGTATCAGTGGTTCAACTGAAAGCTGGGATGAATTTTTAACAGAATAAATTATTTGTTAAATATGCATAACAGATTTAATGAATCTTAAATTTCTCAGATGGGAATTCTAATTCAATTTTTGGGGATAATTGAGTAGTGAATATTCATATGATGAAACAAATGGCTGAGCAGCACCCTTATTTAATAAGAATGTACTTTTTTTAATAGCGGATTGCTTTCCCTTGTGGGCTGTAAGCACATATTTTAYGTAGTTAGTGGGAAAAGAACAGCTTGATGAAGACATTTTTTAAGAAACTGCAAATTATCTTCAGCCAAACAAGACAAGGCTCAGTTTGAGACTTGGTCCCAAGTGACTTCTTTGATTAATTAACTAAAGAGCCATTTGTTTACACAGATTTTTGGGTTTAAAAAAACATCCCTTCTTGTTTTGTGTTTACTTTTGTATTACCTCACATTTGCTCCAAAAATTACTGTTATTTTCTAAGGAAAAACAARAAAGCAGAGCTACTCAAATGCACTAACCGCAACAAACACAAGGGCTAAATTCTCCTTGTACAAAGACCAAGAACTTGTGAATATGCATACATTTTGAACATTTCTGAACTCAGTCATTTTTAATTTATGCTAAAACACAAAATATGTAACATCAAACAAATGCAGATCAGAGGTTTGAGGTGTCTTTTCAAACAGGTTAAAAGTGAAAATGTCACCCGAAATCCAAAAAACAGAGTCAGAAACCAAAAGACTTAAAATGTGTCACTATCACTAGCAAGATTTTGTCAAAGAAAATTCATTATAAAGAAGCACCTGACTTTAGTCCACCATACAAAACTACGTATACCTGAAGACATTTTTAAGTGCAGGTGGAAGAGAAAGAGAAGTAGGACACGCCTGAAATAGATGTAGCAGGTGTGTGGGGACAAAACAAAAAGAAAAAYTGAAGGAACAAAAAACAAAAAGAGGCAGACAGAAGGGGAAGAGAAATACAAAAACACCTGAAAGATTTAATAAAATATCTGGGCAGTGAAAGAAAATACAAGGGTCTCAGTTCTGGACAATACAAACAGTTCTAGCACAGTGGCGGCTGGCGGATTTTTCTCCAGGGGGGGCTACAACTCCAAAATAGGCTCATCTCCAAAAGCAAACAAACATGTACTAAGTTGTATCACAACAGTGTATTTATTAAACAAATGAAAATAATAAAACAGCATTACGATGTCATGTAGTGTTTTATTCTCTGTACATAAATTTTGCTCTTCTGTTACTGAGAAGCAAATTTCTTCATGACTCTGGTTAAAGTCAGGGATGTTTTAACCAGATTCTTCTCTATATAGCATGATCAGTGCAGTGAGATGTGATGTTGTGTACATGAGGAAAGTCTGGATTCTCTTCAGTGTTGAGAAGCTCCTCTCAGATTCAGCCGTGGTCAGAGGAGATGTGATGAGAATCTTCAGCAGAGACATAGTCTCTGAAGATGTCCTGCAGATTGTTCTCCATGAAGAGCAGCTGGGACAGAGACATCACCACTGCAGCTCCTGAACTACATCAGACTTCTTGGTCCTGTTCAGCATTGGGTGAGCCTCCATGGTCTTCAGTGCTGCTTCAGAGAACTGTCCTKCARGAACCTGTCTGCCTGCAGCAGTGTRGCACAATGTGCTACACYGTGCTTGTGAATGTCTCAAGATGGTGTCACAAACCTAAAACAATAAATTCACAAATTTAATTCAATATGGAGATGGCTACAAGTGAGCTTTTAAATATATATTTAATATATAGAGAACAATTAATGTTATTTTAATAGCAACAAAGTGTTGCACCTCTAAGGTAAA